TATGTTATTATTATTATTATTATTATTATTATTATTATTATTATTGGCCATGCACAAACCCTCTGCATAGGTTTCTGTGCCCTTTTCTTAAAAGACTCATACGTGATATGTTGTTACAAGTACGTGCATTATTCCTCGAGAGCCTAGGCCTTCTTCGATCCTGCTAGTGTAGAAGCTCCTCGGTCTCCCAATATAAAAGATAAATAGATGTGTTTGTTCCTGTTTCTTTAACTTTCAGTTTTTACACCATTGGGAAGTTGGCCCTCCGCAAACTGTCACTTTTCAGGAGACCAGACTTATGCACCTTTAGTTGCCTCTAACGACACGCAGTACCAGGGGAGGTGTTATTCTTTGCTCCCCATAGTAAAACTATGCCCCCCCCCCCTCAGATGCAGGGGCGATACGTCCATATCCCCTGACAAAAAGACAACATGAAATACATACTGGACGAACGTAAATAATACATAATAAATTACATTTTTCTATTTATCTCCGTAGTGCAAAAATATGGGTTACAATAGCAAACATACATACACAAATACATAATTATACATGCATAGACACGTAAATACATACATATAAATACATAATTATGCATGCTTAGACATAAAAAAATACATACACACAGATACATACTTAGTAAGACCACATCACACCAATACAGAACAATTTATCACAAAAATGCCATAGCTGGTCGACAGTGTGCAGCGGCCTGTGTGTGTGTGTGTGTGTGTGTGTGTGTGTGTGTGTGTGTGTGTGTGTGTGTGTGTGTGTGTGTGTGTATGTGTGTGTGTGCGCTTTTTTTTTAAGCAGCTAGGCTTTTCGTGTTCAGTAGGACTCAGGCAGCTAATGGCAAGTTTCGACATTGTCACGTATAAAATGCAGAAACCAAATTCTTGGCCCACCCAGTCTGCATAATGTATAACATCCATAGAATTAAAAACATGTATTTCTTTCCTTTAAAAAAACAAATAAAAACAACAACCAACTCTTAAAGGCAAAAGTGAATGCTGTATTAGCGAGCAGATGGGCGAAACTTGAGTTGGTGCTTGGTCGACAACACCTGGAAACAACAACAGCAACACTAGCAACAACAACAGCAACAGATTGGGACTGATGTTTTGTCTATTCTATTTTTGTAGGCTCACTTATCTGGGCTGCGGGCCTACAAAAATAGAATAGACAAAACCTCGGACCCAATCTGTAGCTGTTGTTGTTGCTATTGTTGTTGCTATTGTTGTTGTTGTGGTCCATTGTGCAGCGAGGCGCCCCAGGATTTGGAGCACTGGCTGTAGAGATGCCCCGCCACGGAGATCCGGCGGTGGCATCTCTTTGGGGAGGATTCAGGGAGGTTGGACTGCCTCACCCGTTACCCAAAAAAGGCGGTGGCCCTGGCGAAGAGCACTTCTTCGGGGCTCCAAACATTTCGAGCGGATAGGCTACCACACACACACAACAAGAACAAGAACAACAAGAACAAGAACAACAACAACAACAACAACAACAACAACAACAACAACAACAACAACAACGACGACGACGACAACAACAACAGATTTCAACTGAAGATAAATTGACAACCTTGAGGGTTGGTTACCTCACAGACATGTGACGTAGAAGGGAGGGGAAATAAATATTAAGTGAATCAACCCGGAACACAATTGCTCCCCTTTTCAGTAATAGTTTCACCCTTTTTTTCATGGACGTTACCAGAATGTTTATATTCGAGGTCACTCCTAAAGTCCCTTAAAATGCGAAAGCTCATTCAAAGTAGTAATAATAATTGCATTTATATGGCATAAATTCACGCTCTACAGCATCCTCTATGCACTTTACAAGTACATTTGATTGCCATTTGCTTTGCCTCCGCCGCCTACAAATTAGATGCATACTTACAACACAAACTTTCATTTATTCAATGTCAGATTTTTCCATAACAATATTAGATACGTGTGCCCCGCATTTTTTCCCCTGCACGCATGACTTCATGACCGGTAACAAATTTCTGTGACTCACATCTTTACGTGCTAGGCCTATAAAGGGGTGTGTATTTTGGTGCTTTTTAGAATTTTTTGCGCATTTATGCTTGTTAAAAGACAGATGTTAAAATAGTACATCATTGAGATAGGCAGGAAATATAATTGAGATAGATAGATAGATAGATAGATAGATAGATAGATAGATAGATAGATAGATAGTTAGATAGATAGATAGATAGATAGATAGATAGATAGATAGATAGATAG